TGCTTTTTCCCACCTACGTGGGGAGTGACTCTCAGGGCATGAAGCATTTGCAGAACCCGGTCCCTACAAGGTGAGTATCTATCGTGTCAACATCTGCCCAGACAGCTATTTGTTGCAGACAGTGTACATTTATGTTGCTGTAAAACAGCGAGTGAGGAAGAAAATGGTGTCTGTTGATCAGCATCAATTAGGAAGGAGTTCTAGTGGCATTTACTAAATGCATAAAACAAGGGTAATGGGGCACTGGGAAGTCCCAGGAGCGGTAGCAGCAGGGAAGCTCGGTGAGATTCACTGCCCCCGTGTGAAGGCAGCTCCCAGCTTATGCACTTGTTTCATCGTTGCAAAGACCAGCTGTACTGGCTTTTCCTGACAAACCCAGTTGCTGAAACTCAGTTATCAAAAGGATTCCCGGGAGAAAAGCTGGCGGTGAGCTAGCCCCTAATGTGACAGAATCATCTCCCCACAAAGCCCTGGCTCCATCAGCCATGAAACGTATGTGAGTCATGTTGGGGGGCCGGTACCTGGGAGCAAGGGGCTGGAAACCCACTGCTCCGGGGGACTGAACACCTACAGACATCCAGCAGCTGCCAGCCCCCAGGGACTAGGAGAGCTCAGCTTCTTGCCTGGCTTTAAGAATACGGGATGGCTCTGTGCTAGGATCTTTTAATTGAAATTTAGCCAATATCAAAGCCTATCTAATCACAGTACTGAAAATAAATAACTTCAAAATACTCCATGGTCTTGTTTCTGAAGAGAGCCAAAAATGCAGATATGAGGGAGAAATTATTAAAAGCATTTTATCTCCTATTATTTTATGAAAAATAATAGGTCTTTGGGAGGAGAAGAGAATGAAGGTGAACACTGAATAGCCATTACAGAACTGGCAGAGCAGATAACAGCCATCATGATTTATGAAGGTTCATGATTTGTTATTATGCATGGTAAATACCTTTCAAAACTGCTGGGAATAAAGTTTTAGAGTTATCTCTTGCACGCACACAAAAAGCTTTGCCAACAATATTTGAAAAAATCAGATGCGAGAGTGATCATCTGCTCCCTTCACCAAGACCAACACAGCAGCAGCTGCCTGAGGGCAGGGTCAGCCCCAGGTATGCAGGAACAAAAGTAACTCCTTCATACGCGCTGTGCAGAATGCAAAATCCAACCATCTTTACCAAATTGAGCATTGTTCTTTTCTTGCTGAATTTTACCCCAAGGTCCTTTGCAGTGTTGCCAACTATTACAAGTCTTCCAGTATTGATTTTTTGAAAGTATCAGCTCCTAGAGTCCAGCTATTCAATGGCAACCTCACCCTGCGTACTTTAAATTAAACAGCATTTTTGAATCCTCATGGCATAGCATGAAAATATTTTTTCCTAACAACTTTCCTCACTGGAAAGTAAATAAAAAGAACTAATTCAACATTTACTCAATGAACAAACCGACAAGCAGCAAACCCCACCACTTGGAATGTTTAAGCAGGTCTCAGAAACGCGCTGGTGCCAGACTCCGGGTACTTCCGTGCTGGTAGTTGGCAACACCGCTTTCCTTGTGACATGGGAGGGGGTCCCGCTGTTGGCATAGCTCTTTGGCAAAATGAAACTGGGGGTGTCCTAGGAACTTACCACAACAGACAATAGTAAGAGTGGGGAGGAGGGTCAGCAACCAGGGCGACAGAGGAGAAAACAGAAAGTATTTAATTAGGGAAATTCCAAAAAACAAACAAGCAGCAAATTGGCAGCAAATAAACTTTAAAATAAAAGAGGGTGAGCATCAATTAAAGTATTTAAAATAAGGAAAAGGGGCAAAACATGCAGCAAATCTGAAAGCTACAAAGCACAAAGATCAGAAGAAGTGTGGCAATGAAGGAGCACAATGACAGACGAGAACAGAAACCATGGGTGTCTTTTACCATGCAGTAAAACATGACTGAGTGATGTTAGAATCATAACCAATGACAGGATTTTCTTCAGGGGTCGATTTAGGGGCAGGCTAATCAAAATAGATGCTCACAGGCCTTCAGGTTTGTCAGCTATTGAACACAGACCCTTTCCACGCCCTCGACATGTCCTCTGGGTTGCTGTGTGCCTCATCTGCCGGGACTTTTCACAGGAACAAGCAAACTATTTACGGGGCCAGCCCTGCAGTGTCAGGGGTTACTTTTAAGCTGCTGAATTGCATTTCTTGCTAGGCTGCAATTAAAACTGACATTCAGACATCACCAGCCCAAATTATTTGCGTCACACAATGCAGAAGAACTACGTTCTTGGCCCCAGTTTGGGAAGTGTGGGCTTAAAAGCTCTCCTGTGGTGGAAACCTGGAGTGAGACGGCCCATACTGAGTTGCCTGACCCACAGAGAAGCAGAGATTAACTGGACAGCTGAAGGCTAAGCAAATAATGTAACGTCATATTCACACCACATTGACAATGTCTTCTAAGACTTGCTGAGGCTCGTCTACCCAATGTGTCCACTGGACTCGGGCCCGAGTTATCAAACTCGCTGTGCTGTGTGCGACTGCGGACGAAGCCGCCTGCCTTGGCTGTTTTTGTTCCAGGTGTGTGGTTCTCCTGGTGTGTGTTGTAGAAATGCGAGCAAAAAGCCTCTACAAAAACAACAGCAGCAAAACCGACTCCAGTTACCACAACCGAGCTATTTTGCTGCCAGATAAACAGCTACACAACAAATTGATTGCTCTTCAGCGAACAGCATGACGCAGCCTGTTCTCCGAGATACGGTCTGCACACGCAGCAAACCAGTCCTGTGTTGCAGCACCTCTGAGCATGATTGCTTAAATCGACCCCTGTGGGTGGGGTGAAAATATGGTATGAAGGCATGATATTCTGTGTCAATGCTGATGAAAAGAAATATAAACAAATTATAAAAACAAACTAGTGATGAAACAGTGGCTCATTCACCAAAGAACCCCATTAGTGGAACACATCAGCATCCATGCACTACCTACAGCTTCTCATGAAGAATTTCCTACGACAACCACAATCGGTTTATTGGTATTTCTTTGGTTAATGAATTGTTTTAACAGCAGACAGCAACAGAAACACCCACAACTAGCACATGTGGGCAAGCGTTGGCGTGAGTCATCTGAAAAATCTATTAGTGTTCTTTACTAACTAAAATGGAGTTACCTACCTCCCAGCCAGTACTCTGTGTAATAAAAAGTAAAAAGCGCATGTCACAGAAACCAAAAAAAAAAGTTTCAAAGGCCAAAACATGACCATCAACGTAAGGTATCATAAACCTGAAATGGTTTCAACGATTACAAGTCATCATGCATCCAAAACGGCCTTCTCTGGCCCAGCAGGACGTGCAACGATCGTCCTCCATCGGTTCGTTTAACCTCAGCAATCTGGCAACGCCAGAACATGGAGGAAACCACCAGACCCTCAGCAGCATCCTACGAAGTCGATGCGCTGATCGACGTCTCCCGAGGGGCTGGTGTTAGCACAGGGGTAACGACATCAACGGACACACGATGTACCCGGCAGCCCAGCACCAGCGAGCCGGCCGGCGCGGGGGGCTCAGCGCAGCGCTGGTGCGTACGGGAGGAGCCTGCCGAGCGCTCGCCTGCCCCGGCGGAAGGGCAGGCACCCAGCGGGCCTCTCCGAGAAGATAACGTGTGCTTCTCGAGAGTCGCCAAGTGCTCTCGTCTCCTGCTTAGCTGAGGTCTGTTGAGCTTTGTGAGGGTTGATAACCTCTGAAGTCTCTCACCAAATGCTCAGGACCTGAGCTGGTGGGTTTTGCACCACGTTTAGAAAGGTTCCTCCAATTCTTTATCCACATATGAATAGACAAATAAAACCCCAACATTTCTGAACGTTACCTACCAGGCTAAAAGCAAGACACAGTGTTTTTCCCAGAAATGCAGCATGCAAAACACAGTTTAAAATAACATCTGAAGGGATAAACTGACAGATGATTGAAATTTTTAACTCCTGGATATTTCTGAAGTACAATGACACTTGGTATGTGATGTTCTCTCATGTTTCTCATGTTCAATGTCCAGAGAGAAAAAATCCTATTAGCGATCCTTGCATTTACCGTGGATCACCATTTACCAGTTCTCATGTAATCTGATTAAAATGTTTTTTTCCTAAATAGGTAGCTTTTATTTGCACTGAGCATTTGAAGTTTCTCCACAATTCACACTGCAGCTGAAAATTCAAAACGTTACCTGGTGAACAATCTTGCTGAATGCCTCCTGGAGTTTGCCATGAATAGTAGATAGCTTCTTGGCATCTCTATTAGCTTCATGAATAGGAATAAGGACTTTGTAAACCTCATTAACTGCTTCATACATGCCAGCCTACAAAAATAAGGTGCATCAGATTGCTCCATCAAGACAGCAGCAAGAGCGATCCACACTACCAGCATTTAAATTATAAAATCGCAAAGTGAAAAGGTGGCTTAGATACCACTGCGATGCAATCGGCTTCTTTTCTCAAAATACACACATGCATGAAGGAGTAAAATCATCAGCTGCCCTTGAAATCGAGAGCCTACGGCATTACATATCGCTACTAGTAAATAAGATTATTGCCAGAATCAAAACTGGGATATTCGGATCGATACATGCACAAGAGCACAACGAGCTAAACTGGATCCTAACCAAATTTATGGGAATGAAACACGGAAGCTAAAGTGCACAGTACAGCTCGTTCTGTTTAGCACGTCTTCAAGCGAAGTGACTTCTGCGTCCAACTTTCGGCACTCCAGGGGACGGGCTTTGTGAACTCTCCTCCTGGAGGGGACCCATCCCATCGCGAGCGGAGACGCTGCGTCGCATGGCTCAGCCAGCCCACAGCAGGGCTTCGAGGTCTTTGCCCTGGAGTTGTTTCTGCTTGCACTCAAACCCACCGAACGGTATTTCATATCGTGTTGTGGGAAATAATTCACTTGCTTTCCTTGGTTTCTGATGGATACACTACCACCAGCTCATTAACGCTGCTCACAGAAAGCTCTCAGCCCGCTCTTTTTGAAGAGGAGGAGAAACACTATGGCCTTTCCTTACTGCTGTGAGCTCCCAAATGTGTTGAAGTGAAAGACACTGGAAAGACAGAACGGCCTCTTGGTCCCAGAGCCCGTTCTCTGCGCAGTTTACTCCAGAGGGCAAACTGGGCTGTCTTGAACAACTAAAAAGTCCCAGTGCTCCAGCAAATTAAGCAGTGACAATAGAATTACGCAGTCTCATAGAGAAAACATTTTCCTTCATATTGGCAAGCAGTGTAAGATTGCTGAATAAGACAGGTAAAGAAATTAAAGTCGTCTACCATGGAGAAAGATGCTGCAGCCTGTTCCAGCAATCCCACCAGACCAGCTTCTGTAAAATACTTTCCAGAACAGATACCTTCTTCATCTGGTGATACAACATCATCAGAAACTGCTGACTCTTCCAAAACGTTAGAAGATATGTTCTAAGGAGATATAAGGTAGATGAAACATTTTTACTCTATTTAAATAACACTTGCAATACTTTGAAAGCCAGCTAATTTTAAATCAAATTCTGAAATTTTTAAAGAGGCAGCTTTCACATGCATTTTGGTTCATCTCCTTCTGACCCAGCACGGTACGTCAGCACATGCTGAAGCTAACAGGGTTGGACCACCTACACATTCCAAGCTAAGCACGTGCTTGTTTGCTCCACTCAGTAGCACCCTGCTAAACGTTACCGGTCACAGGAACCACCTTCATCAGCTGCACCCACTGCGTAACGGTTAGATCAAAGAGGGTAAAACCCATGACTTAACAGAGAAATAAAAAGAACTGGATTCATTTAGTACTACGGATGGAAAGACTTAGGGGAACCAAGGCAGTCTTCAAGCATCGTCCAGATCTGCAGAAGTCGCTGTAATGCGTCCTCCCCAAAACAAAAGTACGCAGAGATATTCAGCATCTCAGCAGTAGATGACAAAACCCAAAAACACATCACAGAAGAGAATTCCTACCTGAAAAGTAACACACCCTACAGGGAGGTATTTTCGGTCTTCCAGCATGCTCAGATATTCAGCCACCAAGGCTGCAGAGTGGACCAGGCACTGGGCTGATTCGGCGTGATTGCTCCTCTCGGAGTGCTTTCCAGCCATGTTCTGCAGCCACGTCAGGCGCAGGTCAGGGGAATTCTGGTATCCCTTTGCAATCCTAATTGAAAAGAAAACCTCTGTGATTAGTATTTAGTTACTTCTGCTTAAAAACCACCACCCTCTGTGCTAGGCTATCTAGAAATACAGGAGATAAGCAGCTATACAGCTGGAAAGTTAGCCTGAATTACCTTCTAGATTTCTGAGCCAGTCAGTGGCAGGCAAGCAACTGCAGCTACCCCTTGATGACAGAGTGCTTTTACGGGTGATTGTTGAAGCTCCTGACCAAAGCTCATACGTCACTTGGAAACTGGTAGTAAGCCAAAGGTGTGGGACAAGCAGAGCAGACCTGCCTGGCTGCTTATCACAAAATCTCTGCCACCTTCTAAGAAGCCTTCAGGACCACTTGTGCAGGCAACACCATGCAATTAGGCAGTTGGAACCTTACCATGGCTCTGGTATATCTTTTGCCTATGGAGACCACCACGTGTACTACCACCAGAAAGCCTTTTGTGCAAGCAGGTTCTGAAAGATCCTTAAGTTTTCCCTGATGCAAGCAGGGAGAGTTGTCTTTACTCAGGTGGAAGATGACATTGTCAGAGACTACTGGGGAACAGAAACTCCTTTTATCCAAGATAAGCTACATAAACGCCAAACAAAACCTTTTAACACCACATCCAAACACAACACACAGGTACATATCAGTCCATGGGCACTGAGACCTGGAACTGGTCCAAAAACAAGCTCTGTGAGGGCTCAAATGTGCAACACCTGAGCCCAAAACCAAACAGTCAGTAGCTGTGTTGTTTTCAGGTGAGGAGCTACTGGAGAGAGTCCAGTGCAGGGCTATGAGGATGGTGAGGGGACTGGAGCATCTCTCCTATGAGGAGAGGCTGAGGGAGCTGGGCTTGTTCAGCCTGGAGAAGAGAAGGCTGCGAGGGGACCTTAGAAATGCCTCTAAATATCTGCAGGGTGGGTGTCAGGAAGATGGGGCCAGACTCTTTTCAGGGGTGCCCAGCGACAGGACATGGGGCAACGGGCACAAACTGGAGCATGGGAAGTTCCATCTGGACATGAGGAAGAACTTCTTCCCTCTGAGGGTGACGGAGCCCTGGCCCAGGCTGCCCAGGGAGGTTGTGGAGTCTCCTTCTCTGGAGATATTCCAGACCCGCCTGGACAAGGTGCTGTGCAGCCTGCTCTGGGTGACCCTGCTTGGGCAGGGGGTTGGGCTGGGTGACCCACAGAGGGTCCCTGCCAACCCCGAACATTCTGTGATTCTGTGAAATGTGAATCATGGCAAGCAGTTTAAAACAGGATGAAGTTCAAAGCAAAATAACTGGTGATAAAAAACAAGTAATCAAAGTTCACAGCAACACAACACCTCGCACTCCAAATGCAGGAAGCGCAGCAGGTACCAAGCTTTGGAGCACTGACATCAACCATCCCTACAGCGCAACGGTTACGAACTATACCTGTACATCAGGTCAATCAGCATTTCTGGGTCTTCCTGGTGCTCCTTCATTTTAACTGTGTCAGAGAGGATCATGTGGAGGTTGAACACTAGATCCTGGACCTGTAAAACACATACTGCTGTAACACACTGGCAATGGGAATCGAGCTACACGCTGCTATGTTACGACCACAGTCACTCGGAACCTCTGTGTGCGTTTGCACCTTGTTGTCAGAACTAATCAAGGACCTGGGTTTTACGTATTCAGGTGATTTAAAAAAAAAAGGACCTCCTTCAGGGAATGCATGCAAATTCCAGCTTTAGATGCTCTAGATGGAGGTTAAAGCACAGCCTGTTAATGCACTACACAGTACTTCTCTTGCGGTATTTCTTTTACCTGATCAGGAAATGTTGTCTCCCTGAGTTCCAGATCTTCTTCAGCGTATGTCAAAATAGTCTTCAGGGAACGTCGCAAAAACTCCTCATTGAAGTTCTGGGATGTCCCCACCAGGGATGAGAGAGACATGGTCACCTGCATTTTCACTCTGGCAAAGTTCTGCAACAGAGTAATTGTTGTTGTATTTCAACGAGCTGGAGATCCTGCAACGGGGGGTGCTGCACAACACCAGTGGTCTGGTCACCGCACCCTCCCGACAGACACCCGACACAAAAACAGACAACACAAGTTTCATGAAAAGGCCTGTCACAGAGCAGTGATTAAAGTAAACCTCTGGTGCTGCTGACTTCACAATCCGATGACAGAATTATTAAGCTCCAGGTGAAGCTTCTCCTGCAAAAGTCTTTGTTTTTCGCTTCTTCTACCTGCTCTCCTCTCGGGCACCCTGAACAGGACGATGCTCAGCTCCCTCTGGTGACCAAAGCCCTCACTCTAGACACTGGCTTTTGGTTTGGTCTGGCCTGAAGACCAGAGTCACTGTCCACTTGCTGCTCTCAATCCACTGACAGTCCCAGGGCCCAGAATCACAGAATGGTAGGGGTTGGAAGGGACCTCTGTGGGTCATCTAGTCCAACCCTCC